AATTCAGTGGAAGTGTCTGTGTTTCATAAAACGGCTCCAGCAATGGAGGGTGGGTGGGGAAATGGCAAAGAAAGACACGATATATTTTTTTCTGGAGTAGGGGTTACCAGACTGTGGATGACCAGTGGCCTGTGAGCTTCATGCAGATGGTCCACGATGTGTCAGTGGATTTGTGGTTGAAGGCAGGAGGTGGCGCATTCCAGCCGCTCTATGGAGTTCAAAATGTAAAACAATAAAATACAATATGTATAAGAAATAAAAGAAGCAATTAAAATACAATTAACATCATCCAGCATCCAGCACAGGTGCATTATAATTGCTACAACAGGCAGAAAAAAATCATTAAGTGGTCTGCCAAGACCCTCAGCAATTTTCAAGTTTTTCAGGAGGAGGAAACTTTTGAAGACTGAAATATACTCAGAGTCGCAAAGTGATTTCATGCTCTTTTATTCAGCTCATAGTGGTGAGGAGGAATGAATGAAAGTCCCCTCAAAGTATCGTGCTTTATATACATTATTTACACAATGGGCTGCACATGATTGGCTAATTCCGGAATTCTACTGTAAGCCAATCAGGTTGTGGATTCACTTCTATCTGGAGCATGATTGGGTAGTTCCTGCCAACCAATCATACTGCTGCATTGTTCTAGGACCAATCAGACTGCTGCATTCTGAATCCTATTGTTCTAGGACCCAATCAGACTGCTGCCTTTTGGATCCTATTGTTCTAGGACCAATCAGACTGCTGCAGTTTGGATCCTATTCAAACTCAGTACATAACACCCCTCCCCTCTAAGTTCCAGTCCTGCCCGGGAGGTCGCATTCATAGTCCTTGAGGTACGCCGGCGGCCTACGTGTGCGTTGCGGCCTGGGGTGTTCCCTGGTCCGAGGTTCAGGTTCTGGCTCGTGTTCCAAGGATGCTGGCTGTGATGGGGCTGTCTGGTCTGGCGCAACCGGCTCGCTCAGTCGTGGTTCTGGTTCCGGTGTCCTTTCGGCCTCGCAGGTCCTCTCTGTATTGACTGATTCTGCCTCTCCTGCTGGCCCCTCGTGCTCTATGGGCCTCACTGCCCCTCTGTTCCCTTGGGACTCCTCTGCCCTTTCCTCCTCCTGGTTTTCTCCCGGGAATCGTCGCCGTATCTGGTCACAGTGGCGGCGCCAGCATTGCCCCCCATCTGTTAGCACCTCGTACGACACGGGGCCAGTGACCCTGGTGACTGTGGCAGGTACCCATGCTGGGCCTGCCCCAAAATTCTTTGCATACACTGGGTCCTGGGCCTCGAAGGTCCGGGGGTTCCTGCCTTCCCCCACCACTACCTCATCCTGAGCTCTATCGGGGTGAAGGCGGTCCAATCTGATTGCAAGGCGCCGACCCATTAGTAGTTCAGCGGGGCTCCGGCCAGTCGTTGAGCTGGGGGTGCTGTGCTGTGCTAGAAGGAATGTGGCAAGGCGGTACTCCCAATCCCCTTGCGTCATGCGGCGAAGGGTGTCCTTGGTGGTCCGCACCATGCGTTCTGCTTGGCCATTGGTGGCAGGGTGGAATGGCGCCGAACGGATGTGGCGGATGGCGTTCTGTGCTGTGAAGGTTTGGAATTCTCCTGACGTAAATGCAGTCCCGTTGTCTGAGACGAGAGTGTCAGGGAGCCCGTGGGTTGCAAACAGCCTGCGTAGTACCCGGATGGCTGCGGACGTAGAAGTGGATGGTACCAGTGCGACTTCCAGCCATTTGGTGTAGGAGTCCACCACTATGAAGAATGTTTTCCCCTGAAAGGGGCCCGCAAAATCCACATGCAGGTGTGACCAATCAGACTGCTGCCTTTTGGATCCTATTGTTCTAGGACCAATCAGACTGCTGCAGTTTGGATCCTATTCAACTCAGTACATAACAGATTCCATTTCTAAAATATACGGTATTACTCTGTATAATCTCAGTAACCCAACAACAATAAGCATTATATACAAATAATTAGAGGTTACAATCATTCTCTGAAATACAAAAGCTTTAATTAATAGTTCCAGATGGAAGCACACGGTGTTGGTGGCCACGCAAACTCCAGAACGTGTCGACATGCTACATTCTTATTTATATAGGAAGAAATTTTCAACCAACATTCTGTGCAGTGCAACTGTGTTAGGCATACAATGAGGGGGCGAGGTGGAATTCTTCTAGATACGGTGTCTATTGCACTTTGCTGGGGAAGAGCCACATGAGTCAAATTCTGTCCTTAATTAATTTCTTAAACTTTAAGGTTTAGAGGGACAAGAGCTGACAACAATGCTTACATCCCAGCTTTTCCATTTTGGTTTCCAAAACTTCCTAGGAAAGCCCAGAACTCTCTTGAGAAACTTTTCTAGTCTTTCTGAAACACTCATCTTCTTTTGAAATTTCTCAGACGCTTCATCTGGGGAATAATTTTCTTCAAATTCCTTTTTAAGTGGAATTTCAACGGCAACTTTAGTTTCACGTAGAGCTCTGCTGAATGTTCACACATGTTGCAATGGCTTTTGGGCGGGGAGTTGATCCCTGTTCATTTTTGCTGATTGCCGTTATTTCTTTTCTCTGTTGCTGTTTGGGAGCCATTTTGCAAGGAGGTCTTCTCCATGAGGACAGTCACATGGGTGCTCCCATCTGCATAGCTTATCAGATCTGATGGCGTAGCTGATGACATCACTGAGGGGCAAATGAAGCCAACTGAGAGGGAGGTCAGTGCTTTTTGGGTCAGCATTGCCCTCACTCTGAGTGAATGAACAATCCTTCCTCCTTTCAGAGGAATTCCTGGAAAATTGATTATGTGGCTGGATTTTAATATTTCTGCTTTTATGAGGCTAAAGCACCTACCATGCCTTAATTTAAACCATGGGGGTAGAGGGGCAATTTTGTCTTCAGCTTTATACATCTAAGAAGTTGACAGGCACACATTTGAGACAAAAGGCTGTTTCCTGTCAAGTCAGGCGCCATTAATGTTGCAATTGCGGGAAAATTCTGACAAGCAATTTCCCTTCAGAACATAAGGTGGGTTCCCCTAAGCTATGAAATGGTTTGGGGAGTTGCTTCAGTTTAAAGCTTTGCTCTCTCACATCAGCCAGAAAACTGCTACATAGCAAAAGGCTCTCCAAATTCGCAGGCTTGAGAAATACCACTCTCTGTGGTCAGATTGGAAAAACAATTTCACATCCGCGGAGCCTGCAGACCACTTGAAGAGGAAATCAAGGCGATGCAATCACAGCAAAGCGGTGATTTTCTTTTTTAAAAAATAATTTCACTTAAAACAGGACTGAGGGGTCTGTGTGAAAATATTACTGGCCTTTATTAAAGGGGCATTTACCTACTGAACAAATCATATACCACAAAGGGTATTTGAAGGTCCCCGTTCATTGCCATTTGGGGTAGGGAGCAATCAATATATTTTCCACTTTGCTAGTTAAGAATGCTCAGAGGAGCCTTGCAAATGCAGAGCTAGGTGTTTGAAAGAGGACTGAAGGGAACCAGGCCTGAGAAGGGATTTTGGAGAAAGCAAGGTTATGGGGAAGAGAACATCGCCAGGCACCTGCTTTGTGGGCTGGGTCCTGAGTCTGAATTTGCTCTCTCCCAGAAAGGGACCAAGCAGTGGTCTCCTCTAGCCAAAGATGGGGAGATGGGGTGAGGGATGCTCCATGAGATCATCCCAGGAGAGCAAGGTGTTGCAGATGCCTTAAAAAAACCACTTTCTGATTTTGTGGCGCAGTTGAAAGGCAGGCAGGTGGGTCCCCGCAGCAATACTGCTGTGTTGTCATCACCATCCTTGTTCCCAGTTTTTTTTGGGCGGCACCAGAATTGGCACCATTAGGTAAATCACCCGATTCACAATTATTTTTGCAATTTTGGTCTGAGTAAACAGCCTGCATTCCCCTGTTGAAATTTACTCCAAATCCCATCTCCTCCATTCACCCTCTTCATGAAGCTCCAAGAACATTATCAAATGCTTTTTCAGCATCTATAAACATTAATGCTGCTTTTT